GATGTCTTTACTGAAGCTTTTACTTTACCTGTGTCTGATAAAAAGTTATGAAAGTTATAGAATGAAACCTTAAATTCATATAATTTAATTTGTTTTGCAATATTTTCCATCTTTTTATTTATTTCTGTTAACCAAGATTGGATCCACAATGTCTTAATGCTTGGTTTTATCTCAAGTTTATCAAAAAAATACAAAGTATGTATTTTAGAGCTACAAGTTTACATTGCTATATCTAATTTGATCAAGACATTTGAAAATGCACAGACTAAAACGAGAATCAAACTTAGACGATGTTATTATACCTCCCATTTTGTGTCTAGATTTTCTACTTATTATATAAGTTTAAATTACTTTTATATAAGTAGATGATGTTTTAGAACCACGTTAAACCCGTTGAAAATCGAACCCACTGACCGTTGATTACTAGCCATACAACGTTATAGATGATAATATGTTAGATGTAGGTCACATCTAACATATTATCATCTATAACGGTTTTGGATTGATACAATATATAATTATCGTGTATATCTAAATATACACTACAATAATACGTAAATGACATTTAATAAGTATTTTTCATCCAGTAGGCGCCGTGGTCTGCAACGTATTATTGGTATTAACTGGTATTGCGTGACAGGATGTTGCTAAGTTATTATTTAAATTATTTACTAAATAACACTTATATCGCATATCGTTACCAATATATCAGAAACAATAACTTGTTTACAAGTAAACATAATTATAAATAGCTAGCAATTTTAAACGAAATCAAAAATGGAACACATTTATGCGATTTGTGATTGAAGATGCGCTTACGCATTGTAAGCTTTTACCACTACGCATCTTGCTAAGCTAGTTGTACTCTAGCCAGAGAAGCGACTGTTTTTAAAAACTTAATCTTAATTATAAAACAGCTTGCCTAGCAATATAATGTGTCACTTACAAAAAGGACACAAATAGACAACAAGATAACACAAGCAGAAAGATTTCATTTTGTTTACTCAACCATAAAACAATACTTCTAAGTAATTAGCAGACTAATTAGTTTTTTTCTATCACAACATCCATATTTTTTTAATAAATAGACACATCCTCTTCGGTCACACCATAGCTAGAACCAATCTCCAATGATTAAAAAAAACTACAGTCTGTAGTGTTGCGAGTGGTACCCACTAAATAAAACACTAACTGCTGTTTTTTGCTGCAAAGCAACCGAAACGTGAGCTATAAAATAAGTTTTAAATAAATTTAACTAATATATATCGCGTTTTAAGCCGTTAAAGTGTTTTATTTAAAAAAACTACATTTAATGAGTACTATACATGTATATACCCACTTTTTAAAATTAGAGCATTTGTTATAAAAATATGTATCAATGTTTAGGTAGGTAGGTTTTTTCCTCCTTTATAAGATAGAATTATTTAGGAAGTAAAAAAAATAGCCAGTTATATAACTTTGTGACTGATTTTTCAATTAATAGGCAAAAATATAATCTTACGCAACAAATGTGGGTGTATATTTAGTCATTTAGTCAAGATACAATCTAATAATATTCAAATGCAATTTTTATCTGAAATACGATCTTTCCTTGCGAACCGTTCTTAATTGACAGTTATGGTTATATAAAATCTTCCTTATCCAATCGTCTCTACCCAACCCATCACCCAACCTAAAGTCATTGTTGTTGAAGTCATTAAGCGCTAAGTTCTTCTAGCACTAAATAAAATTGAAAAAAATCGCATACCCAAGCCGTGAGTTTTAAATTTGTCATTTTTTTAGGGTTACAATAATACTGGAGGCAATAATATTGTAAAACCTAAAAAACTTAAAAAAGAAAAAAGAGGTTAAAACCACTTTTTTTTTCTTTTTAACCAAACACAAAAAAGGCTTGCCATTTCCTTCCTTTTAATATGTCTTTACTGTAGTTTTGTGAAATATACATAAATATTATTAGATATTACATCTTCGGCCAAAGAATCGACACCATATATATTATATGAGAATCTTCTTATATTATAAAACTATATTATATTTTTTGTTGTTTAACAGTATCGAAATCTATACTAATATATAAAGCTGAACAGTTTGTTTGTTTGTTTGAACGCGCTAATCTCAGGAACTACTGGTTCAAATTGAACAATTATTTTTATCTTGGCTAGAGTATTTATTGAGGAAGGTTGGTTACAAAACATTCTGTGACTTATAGGAATGAAGAAACAGCGGAAAATATGGACAAAAAATGGGGAAATTATTTATCTCTGAGGGTTTCTCTTATACGTTGCGCATGGGTTAAAGTTACCGTAAATTATGTATAAAAAAACGATTTCTCTTTAAATGATTTAAAAAACGTCTGCGACGCTATGTCTATCTTTTACGATCAAATTACAAGTATGACGGAACGCGTTCGAGTTACATATATATAGATGAAAAGGAGGTTTTCAAACACAAATATGGATGCCCAAAATTACTATTCTAAACGGACGAAGTCGCTGACACAGCTAGTGATATGGGTGAACTCATTAGTAAGGAAATAAATCAAGCAGTTGTTTACGTGTTTATAAAAACTTGACTAAACATCGCGTGTATCAAATTGAACTAGAACTTACTAGTTCTTTATACTCTGCGGTTGTTCATTCAATGAGTTTCGTATTTTTTCTCAGCTTCCTTCCGCTAGTACGTGTGAATTCATGGCCACAACATTAGTTAAATATCTTATTACATTTGTTTATTATCTGTGATTGAATATTATCTGTCAATAAATGTACTTGCTTTATTTTATTTCATTATATTATTGCCGCGGCTACTTTTCTGCCGTTTGATAAGTTAACTTACGAACCTGCTGTCCCTAGATTGTACTTTTTGTTTAAGTCCTCTCATAATACCTATAGTCAATTACAATTTTGTTATTTGGTAAGTATTGAATCTTAATTTCCTACTGGATTATAATAACAAGTATTTTATATGTAACAAAGATACAGGCGGGACTCAAACACGCGACAAACGAGTGTTGCAAATTATTATTATTATAAATGCATTTACTATTTTATTTGATTTTCTATAGTTAGAGTAGAGAATAATAAACTAGGAATTTTCAATCATACTAATTTACGAGTACAAGTATAAATAATTTTATCCATTTTATTAAATTTATAAGTATAATGATATAAACTGCATAATCAGAGTTATATAAATATATATTCCTTTAACTAAAAAACGCTGTTAGGCATCTCATGAAAAATTAGCCTCGTTAGTATTTTAATTAAAACTTATTAACAAACCAAATTATTAATTATAATTTATCTCGGATCTGGTAAACCCCACGCAAATTTATTGTATTTATTTTGCTTATTATGTTATTGTTTTCATTGCGAAAATTTCCATTTTATCTGTCATAAACATCAACTGTGGTGGCGTCGATTCTACTGCGTTCGATAAGAAAATGTCTAACAAATCTATCGTTATTTAATGCAATTCACAGATGTACGAAAAGATAATAGTATATATTTTTAAGAGTGGTAGTAAAATGTTATATGTGACATTTAAATTCTGCATATAGATTAACCGATTAATAGATTAACTTGTGAGAATGACGGGAGCTGAACGACTGGTCGCGAGCGATGGGACGCGACCGATGTCGTGGGCAGCTTAAATTTATAAAGATGTAGAGACTATTCTACGTGGACGATGTCGCTGGCATAGCTAGTTAATTTATAACCGTTTTGTTTGGGAATTCCCTGTTTGCGAATATTTTATCAAAATGTAAACCTTATGTATATAATCTTAAGCGCTACCGTCCTTCGCGGTGTTTTGATAGATTAATGCGAAGTCAATGATGTTTGCGATATTAAAAGGCAATTAATTTTTTCCGTAAACATTTGTTAAATTTTAATGGTTTAAGTTAATTATCATTTTTACATAACAATATTCAAATTAAAAACTGTCTGCGGTTTACGTGAGTAGTAAATGTCACATATTTTAACTGTTTAAACCGCGTTATGATAGTTAAAATTATTGTCAATTTATTTATAAATAAGTTAAACTAAAACAATTTATTTTATTTTAATTATTCCAAATTACTTTTTCATCAAAGAGTCAAGTCAAACCTTTCGAGCTTCTAGCATTTTAGCATGTTTTAGTGTTTTTAAAGGTAAATGTAGATAAAAAACCTTTAACGGTTTAAAATGGGAAATATATTATTTAACTTATTTTCTATTTATTTTAACTATAGCCCGGCGTTTCGGATGCTTAGCAGCAGCAATGGTCACAGGGGGGCTGAAGATGGTATACCTAATGTCAAATTCAATCCATCTATTTCATTGTAGTTGGTATTTGAGGAACGAATGTCAGATATGTTAGTGATAAAATATTAATAGTTAGTATTATTATATCAATTTTAGTACTAGAGACGTTTAATTTTTTCTACTTTGATAACTTAAAATATACATATCATATAGGAATCTGCTTTTCCTCATCTTGGAGCTTTGTTCATGTTATCTTTTCACATATTAGTTCTTCTTAAACCTTTTAAATGTAACACTTTAATTGTTTAAAACACGATATACATATATTAGGCAAACTAATTTGAAAATTATTTGAACTGCAGCCCAACGTTTCGGATGCTTTGCAGGGGAGACATAGTGGTCTTCTTAAACCTTTTTGAGTAATACCGAGGTACTGTTACTAGTAAAATTGGAGTCCTTCCAATTTGTGAGCTAGTATTCTGTTGAACAGAAGTCCTGGGTTCAAATCTTTGAAAAACGCAGAAGGACATTTATTTACTTGCCTATAAATTAAATACCTCAATGAAATGGACGTACCCATTTAATGTTATATCAAAACACTAATGTTTACTTTATCTAATTTTCCACTCGTGCATCGATAACAAACAATAAAACAACGATTAGATTTTAAATTCCGTTTATATTTAAACATAGAACGGGAAACATTTGAAAAGTTTCCAATACTTTTAACGACTTGTTAATTAATTTACGGCCGTGTCATGGTTTTTCCGGCAACGACCGTCTCGGTTTCCACTTATGCGCGTTCTTCTTGTAAACTAGTTCTATCGTCCAGAAGATCACCACTATGCCAAAGCATGATGTAAGAATGTAGAAGGCGGTTGCATAGCTATCAGTCAACATCCTAATCGCACCTGTAATTCAGATTAAAAGATACAAATGTTGAACCTTTTTAATAGCGAGAACATTTAATACTTTGGGTTGGTTAATGGTAGCTATGTAAAGCTATCGACAGGTCGTGGGTTTGATCCTCACCGGTTATTCTGAAACATATTAAACTTTGTTTGGAAAGTTGGATATAAAATGGGTGGTAGGAATATCGAAATTCCGTCCGGTTCACGAAAACATGGTCTACAGATGAAAAAGCCGTGAAGAGCTTAGAAGCCAAGGGTTGGGGAGTACCCCAACCTTTGGAGATGGAAAAATATTACCTACCATCAAGTGTTCTGACGGTAGGTAGGTAGGATCACCAGGTTTGTCCGTTCTCCCTATTATATATAAAATATATAGCTATATATTTTCTATGAAAGTTGTATACGGTCTATAGTTTACGCGAGTAATACACATTTAAATAAAACACTTTAACGGTTCAAAACGCGATATATTAGTTAAACTTATTTGAAAATGATTTTTAACTTCAGTCTCCCGACGTTACCAGGATGCTTTGCAAGCAGCCGACTCGAATGGTCGAATGGCGAGTTAAAACTCATTTTTAAATAAGTTTAACTAATATATCGCGTTTTTAACCGTTAAAGTGTTTTATTTAAATAAGTTCTGTATAACGGCTATCGTATGCGTGCAAAATAGGGAAGTCAGACAGACTGGCATCGTAACGCGTTACATGACGAAGCGGTAAACCCATAATAACTAGAAATATAAGTAATAGCAAAATACGTAAGTGAGTGAGACGCTAAACTCACTTATAGTAGGGCCTAATATAAAACTAACGAGTCCAAAGGCTAGCATAGATAATCCCATGGCTTCTGTAAATTTGTCTGGTGATACGCAGTCTGCTATCACAATCGGATGGAGCACCGTGATGAAGGCACGAGAGACACCAACTATCACCAGGAAACTCTGCATGATAATTCTGTTGTCAGACCAGAGCATCCCTGGAAATTTTAAAATGTCTTAACTAGAATATCTATATCACGTTTCAAACGGTTGAAATGTTATTGCGACTTATACTTGTTAATTCTACGACAGTCGAAGCGTTTTATATATTCTATTATATAAAACGCTTTTTAGAACCAGACTTCTTCATATTTTGGTATGTAGGAAAGGCTAAAGTATTATAGGTAAATTAATCAAGGTACACATTCGATAAAACACTGTTTGCCATTTATTGAAACATATGAGTTACTGTATTTATAATTTAGACACGGCGTTTCGGGTGGTTTCGGAAAACCACATCTGCTGCAAAGAAAAATTTGCAAAATCATTTAAGTCCCCCCGTAACCTGACTGCTTCAAAATATCCGAAATGTCGGGCTTGCTCTAAAATGTATCGAAACATAGATTAGTATATAATATCAAATTTAAAAAAATGACATTTTAGGCGTCATATTATAAATTTTTGTTACCCGATAAATGGTCTATACAAGACCAAAATAATTTTCAATTCGGATCAGTAGTTCCCGAAATTACCGCGTTCAAACAAAGCCTTCAGCTTTATAATATTAATATAGTTAGGGTAGTTAGTAACATATGACGCTTACATATACGAAATCTACATAAACAATGATCTAAATTAAGTACCTAACCGCGACAAACACGCTATAAGGAGTCCAATAACGTAGATCTCAGGCGTCCCCATTTTGCCGAGCCACTTGCTAATAAATATAAACAACATTCTTGCAAACAAATTGCCGAGCCCGAACAGAGCTAACGCTCGACTAACTAGAGCCTGTGAAACAAATGTTAATGTACTTGTAAATGTTAATTAGGAATCCCACAAAAATACATAATTGTAAAGGGATAAGTTTCATACAAAAAAATATGCTTGGTTATAAAAAGAATAAATGAGTGCCAAGTACTTTAAAATAAACAACATTATATTATTTAGAAGATTTTTTTATTACTACTACTGTACTGTATACGTCGATATATATGTACTTATAACATCTCACACTCTATAATATTTAAAAGATTTTTTTACTTTGACTTTGATGTATAATATGTACTTTGCCAACGGTACTCATAGGAGATAAAAGCCGTAATAACTATTAGAAGCATAGACAGCTAAACGTAGTCTAATAAGAAAATGGTAGAACGAAGTTTTAATTAACGGAAACATTGCAGATTCGAATTTTGAATCAAAGGTTAATTTGTCGTTTGTGGCTTCGGTTCCAGGACTTTAAATGTATTCAAGAGAAGGGTTTTGCATTCAAAGTAGTTTCGTAATAGGGTGAAACAATATCGTTCTTTCTTTATTTCGAGATGTTTCTATTTCGAATCGAGGGTAGACGGACTTTCGGCTTTTCATAAAATTTGTTGTGTATATAATCTGTGAAGTGAACCTTTCAGTGAAAAAGAACCACAGAATATACTTCTTCTATTTTAATTATTACAAACTTTCGAATTGACGGTTAACTTACTTACATATAATATAAATATATACTTACTTCATTCCACCCCATGTAGTACAATGCGGGAGATAGCATGGAGAAAAATGTTACGTCCGCAAACAAACATATCGATAAGCCTAGGAAGGCATTGGATAAAAGGAACTTTTTGTACATCTCCTTTCCTACGAATTTCATTATGAGATCGCTGAAAATTGATAAAATTATATCTAAACTTTTTCATTTGTAAATAGTACACATTAAATAAAACACTTTTAACGGTTTAAAATGTATTAGGTAACTTATTTTTAATTTAACTAAACTACAGTTATACGTTTCGGATGCTTGTAGCCGTGGTTCTACGACTCCGGGGGTATTAAGATGGATGTTATCCCTAATGCCAAAGCAAAAACTGCTGCGCGCTCCTAGTTACATTAAAGTAAAAATGCGTTATCTTTTGCGTTTATAACCCTTAAAAGTGTTTCATTTAAATATTATCTTTTACTTTAATCACGAGTAACGAACAAACCTTGTTTTTAATTTTAATAATAAACAACTAACGCCATCTATTTCTGACGTGTGTGCCTTTTCTAATGGTTCTTAAAATATACGTACCCTCCAGTCTTAGCTTTCTCATTTGCATTTTTTACTACTTTATACCGAGTATTTGGGACATTCGTGTGGTGGTATATCTTTTCTCTCACGAGCGATTTTATTTCTGTAAAAGATATGGAAATGCTATTTTATACCTTGTTATTTTATGATCTTAAGTTGAATTTAGCATGGTGCCCACGTATAAAACACACTCATCCACATTTATGTATGGTTTGTACAGTAGAAATAAGACAAGGTGCATGGTCAATAGCTTTATCCCCTGTACGGCTTGGGATGTTTGAAACATATTTGTGTGCCCGGGTCAGATTAAATATTATGTACATGCAATTGATTGATATACTTCTATGGCCTGCTCGACCGAAATAATAATCGTTTTCGTGAGTTTGATCGTCACCAAGCACAGCGTTTTTTTAATTAAATCTTTTTTTTTTTTAATGTTGGACTTTGTTTGATAAGTTGGTTAAAAGAATTATCGAAATTCCATCCGGACAACGAACCACCGTCCACAGGTCAAAGAGCCGTCAAGTATAGTCGCGTTTCGGTTGGAATCTGAGAATTTCCGAGCAACCAGAGACAAAATAGATTAATAATCTTGTTGAAATGTTTTATGCCTAGGGTATTTTGCCTTTTCTTTAAGCGAACCCCATACTTATCTTTCTTCCTTTATCATAAAAAACTGATGTATTTTTTTATAGTCAAGATATAGCGCGATATAATTAATTGTACTTTATACAATGTAAACATACCTATTTCTTTGGTTTCAGGTAATTCAACTCGCTTCATGTGCTTTGATACAGGTTGGAGTAATATTATTGCCAGAATATTGTGAAAACTAATAGCGGATATCAACAACAGATTCCAATAAGGACCATATCTTTCTAGGAAACACTTCACTAGCATCGGTGTTGCTAATGTTGCTATAACTAAAAAAGACGAGAAATGATTTTGCAACTTTTATTTACATCCCGCTAGTGCTAGGTGGGGCATGGCTCAAAATTAATTGTGCGTCTGTTCTATAAGCCGTTTCCCTGGAATTGAAATTCAGGACCATTTTATTTAAACCATATACATATTAAAACAAAACACTAACGGTTTAAAACGCGATATATATTGCAAAACATTCGAAACGTAGGGCCGCAGGCAAAATAATTTTCTAACAAATGTAACTAATATATATTGCGTTTTAAACCGTTAACATATTTTATTTAAATGTGTAGCCAGTTTTCAGAATTATTGATATTATTTCTAATAGAATAGAACAATGTTCGACCGTATAAATATATTATTATTATTTTTTCTGCCTTCTGGCATTTAGTAGTGCCCTCTTTCTCTATTGTATAGAACTAGATTTTACCTGGTACAGTCTGTACAATGCTCATAGCAAATATTCTCCTTTGTACGAAGTATTGATTTAGCATTGTGAAAGAAATATTTATTAACAATCCGTGACCGAGATTCTGAAAGAGATAAAATAATGTTCAGCACCTCGCAAAATTTTATATCGAGTTTTGTATCAACGAAATTTTCACTTCGGGTGTATTTAGGTAAAAAATTCGTGCATTTGTTCGATATAGAATCGATGTTAAAGAGTTCTAAGGAAAACCGAATTTAAGGTTATATTGTACTTGAAAAAACATATTCGTTTCGTTCGAGCTGGATAAAGAAGTGATTTGTCAGCCTGTAAATGACCTTTTCATCAGTGCAACAGGCACAAAAATGTCCCATGTCCCAATCCTCAAGTGGGAATAAGAATTTCGTTCGTCGTTCGTTTTATTTAAGATTTACAAAACAAACCATGTTTGTGATACAATTTATTTATTATTTGGTGAATAATTACTTAAAAACACCTCAAAAGCTCTTTGTAGGAATTACTTTTACCTTAATAATACCTTGAAATATAAATAACATTGCTTTAGAGCTGCACAAAGCAGTGCCAAATAATCCCAAACTGTAAAATAAAGCTGCAACGAAGCCAAGCTTTCGTATCGATGTATACTTTAGGAAGAAACTTGTTGAGAATCCTGGAAATTAAAATAATTATATGTTTGGAGTAGATGTACGCAAACTGATAATTACTTGATTAAAAAGTGTTGTATTCACATTTAGAACTTAAAGTATTTAGCTAAAATCGATGAATAAAGGTCTACTAATGCTTCATATAGATAACTAGTTATGGCATTTAGTTATGGAATATTTATTTATTAACAATGAAAAGGTTTTAAATTTAGACCTAATTTTTATTTGTGGTGCGAATTGAATGTCGGGGGTGTAGACTTTAATAGATATTAAAAAAAATAAAAATGTCTATGAAACAGTCATAGAAATGTGTAGGCCCCCGTATCTAAATAGTATAAAGTACAATATTTTATTATTAAAAATGCTATATTTATCATACGTATATATACATGTGTATGTGGACATACTCTTTAGTCAAGCTTAAGTACGCACGCAACTTCAATAAACAAAGGCTCGTATGAAAGTTGTATATGTTAATTCTTATTCTTATCAAAGAGGACAGAGATAACACCTTATTATGTGGCAAGCGCACATAATAGTCACCATTATTTGAGAATTGGTTCAGTTATCTTAAGACACTCTTGTTTCAAATGTATAAGAATTAATGTATCAAACTACTTCGTTACTCTAGTGGTTTGTTTCGTCAAATACTACCAGGTCCCGGTTTTGAAACAGAGGCCGGGCGAAATCGGTAATTGGTATTAAGTCCTCATTTTGGCAACCCTACCCGATAAGCGGTTGGTCCCGGTTATCATCACACATTTAGTAACAATTGGTATAGAAGCTTAAGGACCATAGACCCCTTGGTCCTTAAGGTCTTAAACCACCCAATATGGGAAACGAGACCAGTGTCCACTGCGCGTTAATAAGTTGTAAGGATGCTAGCTAGCTGAAGAAAAACCCTATTTAAGTTTAACTTAGAAAGCTCACCCGAAATTGCAACACAAAGTCCACCAAGGTTATTCACAATTGCAACACTAGTGGTGTCCATCGCGAGTTCATTGAACCTCTCTTTATAAATTAAAGCAGAACTATTAGCAAAACCTGTTAATACCGTCTGAAAAACAAAAAAAAAGACAGTAATACAATATATATTATTACTTCTCAATTCCAGTTGATATCATGTTTTAATCAGTATGTCTGTTCCAATTTATTTCATTTGTTTTAGTTCGTGTGACCAATACTTAAAAAAAATCATTCAAAAAATATAACGAAGAGTTGTGATTTGAGAAATAAACTGTACGTAATATTTGCGACAAAGTGTAAATGTATCTTAATTCAAAGAGAAAATTTTGAAGCAGACACGAAAATTATATTTCTCGATCTTGTCGACTTGTAAAGAAATCTGAGATATACAAATAACAAATGGAGAAACGTGTTAGAATAAATATGTTCTGATGTCTGTAAAGTTTTGTAACAAAAATAATCGAATGAACTTTAATGATTCTTGAAGTAAGAATTTCAATGACTAAGAGATGTGAGTTTCTAGACGTTAACCAAGTAGAATCACTCACCAATATAACAGTGACGGCAACGCAAATCATATACCCCCATTTCCCATCCGGGGGTTCATATTTATGTTCTTTATGCATATCACCCTGAGCACACATGTCATCGGGCACCAGAAAATGGTATGAGATGAAAACGCAACCGCTTATCTCACGTCAATAATGTTTAATTTGTATAAGATATGTCTCTTGCGAGATTATTCAAGCCTTGTTTGATTAATTTAGAACTTATCATGATCACGAACGATGTTGGAATGGTATTAAAATATTATAAGATGTTGTGTTAAACAATGAAGTCGTAATTTATGATTTAAATTATTTAAAAAACACTGAATTATATGTAATTAAACGATTTAGCAATATCACCAACTAAATAATGTCTGTAGTTTACACGAGTAGTATACATTTAAGGAAAACACTTTAACAGTTTAAAACGCGATATATATTAGGAAAACTTATTCATCTTAAACTTAGTCTTCCCTTAATCTCGGCTGCTGCAAAGCATCCGAAATTTTCAAATGAGTTTACACATATCGCGTTGTAAACCGTTAAAGTTTTTTATTTAACATCAGCTTTCTAACAATTCCCACTGTTTGGCCGTAGGCCTATGTCTAAATCTACCACGCTGGCGAAGTACGTATCTGTTACGTAAATAACAAATATGACGAGGTTTTTTTGTTTTCTAATTAAATGTTTTGGTAATAATGTAATTAGTATGTAATCGAATATAATTAAATAAAAGAGTTATCTAAATTCTATATAAAGCCAGAGATAAAACCGAGAAGAATTAAGCAATTGCAAATGTTATTTATAATTTCGTTAATAAATTTAACCAAACGACTAAATTAGCACTTAATTGTTATAGTTCTGCTGATATGAAATAAAAAAACAAGTAACATTATAATGTTTTTATTGTTTTATATAAATAATGGTATCTTGTGTATCAGATTTATACAGTTGAACAAATGTTGTTTAAAACCTTTTAAATTAAACAAAATAAATGTGCGCTTTATCTTAATGTCTTGGTGCAACGCAGTATAACAACCACAAACTAGCTTGTCTAACCCTATTTGTAAAACATCGGTCATTAAAATATGTCTGTCTCGTGACTCGTGTAAAGAGAGGGATTTTTTTTCTTACATTTTAAGATGGACCTGTAATTGTACAGATCACCAAGCAAAATTTAAGAAAAATCTCATAACATAAAATACATAGAGATATATCATCTAGGTAACCATAATATCATAGAGTAATAAAGTTTAATTAAACCATTTTTACGGTTTAAAACGCGGAATATATTAGTTAAACTTATTTACAAATTATTTTGACTACGACCCGACGTTTCGGATGCTTGGTAGCAGTGGTCACAAGCATACTAAACATGGAGGGTAGGACACTTGTAGTCAATTCTGCAAATACCCAGCCAGTTTCGCCAAATACCAACTACGATCGAACAGATGGCGTTAGCGTAGCAGTTTCTACGTTGACATTATAGGCCATCTTTAGTTTTCCAGGGACCACGGCTGTTGCAAAGCATACCTAACGTTATTTTTCGCGTTTTAAACCATTCAAGCGCTTATAAATTGTGTAAAGCTTGCACGGCCATCGTTCAGCATACGGCCGAAGTGAGCGAGAAGAGGTTCTCGATGTTTCGTCATCGTTCGAAGTTTCGTTTTCAAGCAATAGAGGTGTTAACATCTCCTGATGATTCCTTCCACACGTGATGGCGAAACGTCGAGAACCTCTTCTCGCCCACATCGGCTGAACAGCCCGAAAGACAATGATATGCATTCAAATGTTTTATTTAAATGTGTACTACGTGTAAAGTACAGACAGTGTACTAATTACTGTCTGTTTAAAGTTTACTTTTCGTAAGACTTTTCCAAGGTTTTCCTCTTCTTTTTAAAGACCAATTTAACAGTCCACACAACACCAACTGTGCCCATGATAGCTGACATAACGTAGAACGTTATTGTGTAGCTTTCTGTATAATCTCGTATAGCTCCTGAAAATTGTTGGACCATAGATTAAAAAACTAACTTCAGATGGTGAAAAAAATAGCTTATTTTTAGAGAATTCCTATTGGAATATTTGTATTAATTTATTATTATTTGGTAATTAGTACAAAATTAGCTACCATTTTAATAAATTACTGCTACATAAAATCCATCTACATAGATGTATAAAGCTTTAGAATTTTAATTAAAATCACAAAAAGAGGCATACCACCTGCTGTGGATTCGAATCCCGACTGCATTTTTTTTTTCATCTTTTAGGTCATTTAGATATTTTTATTGTTTATTTTTAATATAACCTAAAGAAGTAGTAAAAGTGTTTGTTGTAGCATATTTCAATCAAAGCATAAGTTTGATGTGCATAAACATTGACTTTTACCTCACCTGTAGCCTAATAAAAAATGTTATAAAAATTATTTTACCTAACAACGGTCCCAACGTCAAACTAAATGCCCCGATCATTGTCATACACACTCCAATCGCTGAAGAGAACTCATCCGGTTCGACAGATTCAGATATAACCAGTAGGATCACAACTAGTAAAATACAACGAGACATACCCATTATTACGAATAGGGTATATATAATCAATTGGTTACTGGTGATAAGCATTCCTGTAATAAGTAATCTTGTTAAAATAACTTTGTAACTTAAAATCGATTTTAGATAGAAAAATAAATTACTACACGTGCGAGTCTCGAACCAGCATCCACTTTAACCTAAATCGATTTTATATAATGCCACCATATGCATGATCATGTGAGAAATATTAAGGTTTTCATAAGTAACTTTTGCTATTTGCGTTTCTGAGCTATTTGGTCAGCATTAGCTTATTCGAGGATCGCGCAACATCTGATGACGGCACCGGTTCGTTATGGCAAAACGAAGAAAATCTTTTCTCAAAAAGAACGACCGAATAGCTCAAAAGCTATTTATATGTTGCTTAAAATTTCATTCTCAAAAACCCTTGTGGTACCTCGTATAAACACTAGTATGTTATATACTCAATTTTATTAACAGACAAGAAATTGATACAGAAAAACAATTAACTTTGTAATGTCATACATTCACAAAATAATTTATTATGTATCGGATACAAACCTATTCAATGCATTTTATTGTTTTAGATAGGTAGTTAGTTAATCCGACTTATATAACCATATAAAAAATATATATATATTACCCAATCTCGTCAGACATCCAAGTATTATTCCAAACACGTAAACTGGACGGCTTCCCCATTTATTTATCCATTTGGTGAGGACAATTAACAGGATTCTCATTAAAAGATCTCCACAGCCGACCATCGAAAAGGCCCATGCTATTTCTTCCTGGTAATAATAAAAAATGTTAGAATATAATCATTCAATCACTATAATATAACTTTATAGAAATGTAAAAACTTTTTCAATAGAAAAAAATGACATTTTCGTCTCAGTCTTTTTTTAATTAAAAAAATATCTTTATTTTTTTAATAATAATATACATACAACATAAAAACAAAATAATTATTATTAATAACACATTGAATAAATAAAATTTTGGACAGGGACCAGGCGCAATGAGAAATGGTGTGTAATAATAATGTGGTTTGAACCCCACTGGGACCACAATTTTTCTAATCAATTTATAATTTTTCTGAAACACGTTGCACTTCGTCTGGGAATCTGAATATCTAATGGTCGATAAGAATATCGAAATTCCATCGCATCACGAACCACCATCCACTGATGAAAAAGGCGTGAAGTTTTATAGCGTTTTGGTTTTAGTCTGTGGGTTTCGGAGTATCTAAACCGAAATAGGTCTATATTAGACCCAAGCTGGTGTGTTTAATCTATCATCAAATGAACGCCATGCTTGTCTGTCCTCCTCTATCGTAAAAAAAAAAATTTTCATAATGTAATTGGAAAAATTTATTCAAAAAATTTCTACCAACTAAATCTTCAAACAATACGTTAAAAAAATATATCAGCCACAGATGAGAATTTTTATTCTACAATAAACATGTTACACGTACCAAGCACTTACTTCTCTCCAATTAAACGACTGTAGCGCCTGTGGAAGAATCATGAGAAATGTGAACTCATTGACCATGACTAGAGTTGAGCCAGCGCATTCGATGGAAGGGAAGAACTTCTTGAATAGTTTTATGTCTATTAAAGTATTCATAAAGCCTCTGCAAAATAAAATTAAAGTTAAAGAAACTATTACGAAAACATAAAAATAATTAAAATATTTTTAACGGTTTTCAACACGACATTTAATTGTTAATAACTCCACTATGTCCATGACTGCTGTCAACCATAGGTCAACTTGTAGTCCAAAAATATATTCGCGTTATAAACCGTTGTAAAATATTTATTTAAAGTTAAAGTAACAAAGCTTAATTCCATTAGTGTTTTAAATACGAAAGTTTGTAAAACTCGATCGATGTTTACACTAAAACCATCATCAACTAAGTGACAAATAGCGCCAATCTTTGATCCTGGGTTCTAATACCGGGAAATTAACAATTTCTTTTAGGCAGGGCATAGAACGGCGGTTGCACGGACACAGAAATTTGTTCGCCCCATGTTGTCCGTTATGTTGTAACCCGTTATGACGTGTAGGCAAAAACATTACTGTATTAATTTTATTCGTCAATGTTAAAGTCAGGAAAGAAAGGAACCAGTATTCTTTCTTGCTATATAGATATACTAAGAAATCCCTAAAATAATTGTGTAGGTATTGTTATTTTCTGCTGTTTTATGATGACGTTGCTAAATTTAAATTTTCGCATACTTACATAATCTTCTTAACTGTGCTATCCTCTTTGCCGTGAATTTTATCTAAATTAATATTAGTATTGTCTGCGTCTTTCACTATCGTTGTTACGTCTAGATTCTCTTTTAAAAGTATCTTTAATTCTGTAAATGAATTATTCAACGCCTTTTTTAAATCTTTTTGTTTGTTAAGAATTTAATAGATTATATTTATTTTTCGTGTCTCCAAAACCCCTTACCCAACATTTATGCTAATATGAAATAAAAGGAAAAAATAACTGTCTTGAAACAGAAAACTAAGAACTTTGCACAAATGAATACCTATTTTGTTTGAGTTATAGATAATCTTTTTATAATACAATTTTGAAGTCGGTATCGAAAAAAACCATCGCACTATTTTTTAACGCGAACAAATATAAAAGCATTTTCTTGGATCGAATTGGCGACACTTTATTCAAGTCCCTTAAAAGTCTGACTTTTAAATCTATCACTTAATAATAACATTTTTACGTTGTAAGTTAGGCTGCTTTAGTTGTTTACAAGAAAACGTCTGCTGTTTTAGATATAAGTAACATACCCTGCTCCTTTGGTGGAATTTCAATCTTCTTCATGTGCCATGAAACGGGTTGCATAATGGCTGAAGCAATGAACATGTGCGCTGACACAGCACAAACCCATATTAAAGTACTTCTATGTCCGAACGTATCCAAAGACCAATTGAAACATTGTGGTGCCGCGAGACATACGACCGCTGGAAATATATAAAAAAGTTTATAAAATGCTTGTAAAACATTATAAACAAAAATTTGCTATATATTATTAAAAAATAGACAAGATTTGTCCAAATACCAATTATACCAGTATAAAAAAAATCTGCGAGTAAATATTGTAATCTTGATTAATACGAAACTCAACTTTTACAAACCGAAACCGGAGGTGAATAAGGGGAAAATGGGGAAATAAGGTGAATGATTGAAAACTTTAATATTTTTCACATGTTATTGCGTATGATGGCACTATATAAATTAACACTCGAAACTCACACTCGACCTCTATCGATTCTGGTGTTTTAAATAGAAATATTTTTGTAAACATTTATCGGTAACTTGAAGCCTAATCTTCTAAATTGTAAGTGCAAGATAATTAATTTGTCTTCATTTCTAGCGCTTACCCAATAAAGTCTGTGACACACTGATGGCTAAAGTCCGCCTCTTTACAAAGTATTCATTTAGTGCCGACGTAGAGACATTGTATATTAACCCTTGTCCAAAGTTCTGAAAATAAATAAGCATTTAAAATATAATAAAATATATATATTAAAAAAAATACGGCAGTTTTCATATTTATTCTTAACTGATGGAGCGTTAGATATCACATATCTTTTAACTTGGAAAATTGTTTAACTTTACAATATCATGTAGATCTACTTAGATTAGATATGTCTGCTGTCGGTTACAGCAGGAACCTCAGAAATTGCACATTTTGTTCAGGGAAGTGAATCGCTAACGAACGCCATCTGTGAGTCACAGACGCCGTGGGCAACACAAATTAGAACGAGGAGACAATAAAAAAAGTTTGTACGAAACAACCAATATATTTTATGGTTCCAAACACCTTATAATATTTGAAAACATTAATATTTTTACATGTTATTGACATGAAGGCACCATATAATTTAAAAATCAAAAATTGAAAAACACGGGGGGGAGGGGAACCGGCACCAAAATGGGAAGAGAAAAAGCACGGAACACTGACAGGGGGTGGGGGGGGGGGGGAGCCGGCACCGGAGTGGGTAGAGCAAAAGCACGGAACACTGACGATGTCGGTTCAAGTCCTCCCCGCGTCGAAAATTTTTTCAATTTATCGTTTTAAATCACCTTATAAAATTACGAAATTCGACAAGTACTGTATAAACGCAACTTCACTAATGTTTAAACATACACACACACGTATATACGCATAGACTAAAATTATTGTTTAGCTCTTGTATTTGCCTTGGAAAATAAAGAATATAATTTTTGATTGAGCAAAAGCTGTGATAAGCATTCCAAGATTCCACAGCAAAGTGCCGACCAGGGCTGTCTTTCGTTTCGTCAGCAATGTGAGAAAGTACGGTGTCATTAAACCTGAAATTGTTGTACAGATGTTGGTTGAAATAACTTTAGATGATCAGGCTTCCTAAAAGTCTGACGTAGGCCTACGCCGATACTACTACAGCCACAAAAGTAAAAACTAAACTCAGCGTAAGAAATAAAGCTAAAATTAACTAAATTTGCCCCCCGTGACCACGACTGCTACAAATTATCCGAAATGTCGGATTAAAAATGTAAAAAAAGTTCGTCCTCCAAAAGATGGATGAAAAACAAAAGATCGATTGTGGGTGGTACATTGGTATGGTTTGCCTAGCCTCACTCCTCTATACCTAAATACTTCTAGTGCACTGAATTCGGGAACGGTCAAAGAACCTTCTCTTACTTGCGTCGATTGAATACTTATTCTTTTACACGTTTCCGAGTTAGAAGTTAAATCAAATGTCACAGAAGAGACGTTTGTGAAGATTTTGCTTAGAAATAAAGAAATCGCACAATTGTAAATCAGTTACAAATTTAATTTACAGTTATGTTGAAGTTGGTAATTTAAAAGCAATATAATACGCCTAGATTCGAGATTGTACTAATTCTTATAGACTTAAGACATTTAAAAACATGTTGGATGTGGCAGAAATTAATTCGTATCTCTATAGCCAAATATTAAACTGTCAATAAGATTTTTAACTATACTTACTCGCTAAAGCTGAACTTATTGCGTTTATTCCACTCAAAGCTGTTACATTTGTCGAGTCCATACCCAGTTCAGTGAAAAAGTCCTTGTATATTATCCCATAGCAGTTTATAAATGCACTAAAAACAGACTGTGGGAGAAAGAAAATCAATTTCGTAATCTCTAAGCGAACTATGCAAATTTCTTGTTCATCTTGAAAAGAGCTCATACATTTTAAACGACCCAGTTTCGATGTACAGTAAGTTTCGTTTTTCTTTAAAATTGAAACTAGATCAAATAGTTCTTCTTTTAACAGGAGGCTGGTGCATATAAATAAAGATGTTCCCACGACTGTTAAAGTTAAACCATGGTAAATTATGCCGTCGTCGTTTACTAACATTTTATTTTATTTATTTTCTATGTGTGAAACCAAGACTATACAAACATCACTTTCATGCAACATGAATGTGAATTACAACTAATATAACGATACGACTGAAATTTATTTCGTTTGTCATTCTTTAACTCCAAATATTTAATTAAATGTAACACTTTAACGGTTTAAAATGCGATATATATTAGTTAAAGTTATTTGAAATTTCTTACGAAAAGACCCGTGACAGCGAAAGCATACGAAATGTTGGGCCGTAGTTCAAATAATTTTCATATTCGTTTAACTAATATACATTTTTGCGAATAGAGAATTTGTATTTGTATTTGTACATCGCGTTTTGAACCGTTGTAGTGTTTTATTTAAATGTGTACTACTGGCGTAAACTACAGACTGTATGAACATTTTTATTCGCGTGAAGTTTAAGTCATATTTGCTTTTATTATGTGTAATTTTTCTTTAAATACTAAAAACAAAAGGAATAATTAATACTTTCTATCTACAAAATGAGTTTTTTATGATTTTTCGTGGCAAGAAAACAGACGAGTATAGCTTTCATCGATGAAAGGTGAAATATTCCAACCATAATTAAAGAAGACGTGTTTTCGACATGTTTCGGCATTCTGAAATTGGCTAACTGAAACCGAATTGCCATTAAACTTCATAACTTTTTCACTCTTGGACTGTGATTTCTGAACTAATTTTATAATCTTATCACCCAATTAACATCCAGATTTTCCAAATGGAGTCTAACATGTATATACTTTTTTACTTCTATAATTATTTAATACAAACTGTTACATGTATTTTTATCTGTATTACTTAATTTAAAAATTGTTTTATTATACTTTTATGTAATGTGCTACGCCAACGTGCAGACAAACCCGAATGAGTTTTCGAAAACGCATTTTTATGCATGACATAAGTGCTCAGTAACCAAAGAAAGCTAACAAAACCTAAAACTCACCAAATTGATAAACACCGCTAACATTATAACATATCCGAACCCACCATCCGGGGCCACAAATTCAAAGGCTTTTCCCTTCTCCATGATTCAAATTCACTAAGCACCAAGCACCACGAACATCTTTTTAATACCACTACCGTATCTGCCGAGCACATTCAAAATTTAATCCTCATTTTATCATCTGTCTATTTGAGTGTTGCTTAAGGTTTCATAATGGTATCAACATGTTTGCGTTATATATAACAAAGTAACAGCAGTAGCGTTGATTTGTCGTAACGAACGACGTGTGTACTTTGAAAATTATATGCAAAATAGGTATGTGTTGGAGTATACAAATTTAGCATGTTTGTTTAGACGGCTGGTCTAAAACAGTGGTTAAAGAATAGGATCAGCTACCACTGCAGCAATGTATTTCATTTTTGTAAGAGTTCTGGTTTTTTGTAAGATAGAGAAGGACAGATAAGCATGGAGTCTACTTGATAGTAGATGGAAAGCCCAGCTATTCAACTTCAAAACGATATTCGCTGTCAACCTCTTTTGTCTTTGAAGCGGGAAAACGATTAAACTTCACGGTTTTTTCATCTGTGGACAGTGGTTCCAGATTTACAGACAAAGTCCAATGTATTTCAGAATTATACATTGATTAGATAAGCATGTTACACCAGAACATGCATGTGGGAATCGAACAACCATGGAAGCCGTCCCGTCTGAATTGCATAGTCAATTACCTTTTCGGAATGTTTATCATTAAGAGCGAAGAAATCCTACAACAACAGACAAACTGAAGACTAAAGAGACAAGATTTATGTTGAATACTTTTGGTACCGTATGCAGACAATAAATTATGTTCAATAAGAATTATTGTGTATACTTTTATCAGTTCCTTATACCCAGTAGATAAGTCGTGTTTGGTTTTCCGGACTGAAGAAATGAAGAGCTATAATATAATCATGATTATACATATTATATAGAAAACATGTATTTTATACACGTCTAAGAAGACAGGTGAAAACGCATTGCGTCTTTCCCCTCCCCTTAGACGTGTATAAAATAACTCGACGTAAAACTAAGTTTTACACGTAGCAATCCAACTATTAGAAACGCTGATATAGAATGATTCTGCATTAAATATTCATGTTTGTACAATATAGTTAAAAAACATACTTTTATTAGTGGTGTCTAGCTACCAAAATACACTTTCTCGCACAAGAATATCCATTACATTTTTTTTTTTAATTTGACAAAAATTTGGAAAATCAATATAAATTCTGGGGCAACACCATTAAACCTTCAAAAATGCATGTTTTCTCTTTTGGGGAATAAACACATATAGTATTGTCTATAGTTTATGCATTTAAATAAAAAAATAACGGTTTAAAACTCGAAATGTATCAGTTACATTCGTGACAATTTTCTTTTCAGCAACCGTGGTCAATTAATTCAACCAGTATGTTAACTAATATAATTCGCGTATAAGACCGTTAAAAATGTTTTATTTAAATTATACGTTGTTATTATGATATAAAATTCGATGCGCGACCGATACGGTTTATTTCTTCCTCGGGCTTCGAACCTTGGAGCGTGCTTAACGCAGCACATTTAACTATTGCGCTACAGAGGCAGATTCAGTTTAGGCCAGTACACATAACCCAATGTCTTCATGGAAACTGTTGATAAGTTACAATCCAAGTATAAATCTGTGGTTTTTAAAGACTCAGGCATTTATAGCAAAAAGTTTTTATTACCGTAAAGAATAAATACAGCTTTGACATTTAATAAACGGATAAAAGATTAAATAATTTCAGAGAAGTGACACTAATGATGCAATATTCATGCACAGATGAGACGATAACACTTAAGAAAAAAAATGGTCCTTCCTAGCGTTGCATATACATTTATTATGATTAATGATACGATTTAAATAAAAAAATACAATTTAAAACAATAATTTGTTATATTTTAATTTAATTTAACTACGGTCCAACGTTGTTCAGTTGGCGTGGTCACGGTAGGTCAAACGCGAAATATAAAATAAGCATAATTTTTTTAGTAATTTATGTATGTATGTATAAATCAAGCGCTTCACCTACTGGTCAAATATTAGGGCAATAGGTGTCAAACAATTCGTAATAACGATCGAGGCATACAGTACAGTACATCCGTTTCTACGGCGTATTATTATTAACGGCGTATATTTATTTACTTAACTCGTAAACAATTACTGTCTTAAAAAAGGTTTTCAACGGTTTGAAACGAGAAATATAATAACTATTAAATATGTTAACTTATTTTATGTTTTTGGGTTTAAACAGTTTTATTTATCAATAACTAGAAGTACATCAAGTTTTTAGAATTGAATAAGCCTATTGAGTTTACCGTATAGCCCAACAGCAAAAATATTGCTTAAAAAAAAAACACTTTAACATCCGAAACGTCGGACCGAAGTTAAAAATCATTTTCAAATAAGTTTAACTAATATATAGTTATCATAGAAAAAAGCATTCAACATTTGCATATCGTTTGTTATTTGAGTTCAGATGCGTCATAGTCCATTAGTTTTATGTAAACAGAATGCACACCTTTATTAAATTATATTTCTCTACCTGTTTGCTGTTTAGAATTAGAATGACATATTCATACTTTTTTATGATATATCGTATATAAATAACACAGGCACTGGAAGTAGAATTGTTTTATTTCTTTTTGCCAGATTTGACTTTGTCATTAATGACAACCTCCGTTTTCAGTCCCTCAGTGTCTGGCCGTCGGGCCGTACTTAAAAGTAACTTAAATAATACATTTCTCATTTCAACCGTTAAGTGTTTAACTTTAAATATGTACTTTAGGGTCTAACACTTTTCTAATCAATTAATATTTTTCCTACAACATGTTGGACCTCGTTTAGAAATCTGGATATTAAATTGTTGGTAGTAATATCGATATTTCCCACGAGTCACGAACAACCGATACAGATATAAAAACCCGTCAAGTTATTTCGCATTTCAGTTTTAGTCTGTGGATTCCGAATATCCAAATGCAAAATACGTTGCCATCCTGTCCTTACTAATATTATAAATGCGAAATAAATCTCTTCCACTACGGATTTGAGTGGAGTATGGTACACATATGGTTTAGGCATGAGAAATGACATAGGCTTTGATTGCGACAAAGGGGGTTTAAAGGGGTTAAAAAAGGTTGTAGCACTAACAGAACAAAAATTTCTTCTTTGGCTTGAGATAAATGCGATATTAAGTAAATTAATAAGCTAGACTTAAATAGATTAACAAATAGATTGCTACGCCATAAATGTGCATTATTAATCCCCGCGAAAGAAGTCGCGGGCACAGCTAGTATGTTATATGGCTTAGTTATTTCACCTTCGAGTGCACACCACCCTTGTTAGTCCTCGTCTATCGTAAATATCAGTAAATCTATAAGCTTAACACTAAACAAATTTAATTATTTTCCAATTGTACATACACTTCTACTTAGTCACCATACATTGTATGATGTCTATTAAAATATTGCTTGCTATTTCAATGAAACAAGTTTATCTGGAAAAGACATTTACTTGTCTAATGACATTCTTTTGCACCTACTTATGCGTCATATTACAATAATATATCCATTTAATATATAGCGTTATACTTGTTGCAAAAAACGTTTCGCATACTTGCGTGTATTATGTATTAATCTCAACATAACTACGATTTAAATCACATTTATATGTGAAATCCCGATTTTAGACAAAAGAAACCTTATTTTTCCCAAGATTTATGCCTTTTTCGCCTACGCACATTTTACTACTTAGGTATTCTACTTACAAAATAGTCTTTTATATAAATAATTCAAAACATTCTACTTCAAACTTCAGTGAACAAATATCAACCATCTCTGTGGCCAAATGGTTAAACGTGATGCCTAGCATTGCGTAAAGCGCGAGAGGTCCTGGTTTGAAATTCGAATCTTAGAGTTGGAGGTTGTTTCGGGCACAGAAGTCTCTTCAACCACTAGCTTGAAAAAGAACCAGAATCAGTAGAACGGATATAGAAGTATTCGCCCCATGTTTACGAAGGAAAAGGGGATTATACAAAAAAATATCTACTTATTATTTTTAAATTAATATTAAACACAGGTAATTTTAATGGCTAGCGCGACGCTTGTAATTTGATAGTATCTGACACAATCAAACAATAATATAAAATTTCAACGTCCTCATAGCAAAAACCTCGACCTTAGATATAAAATTTCGATTAGGCTTTCCGTGGAATGCCACTTTGCAACTTTTCGAAAATTGTATTAGCATTCAAATTGGAAATTTATCGCAATATACCGCTTTTAGGATTCAAAATTGTACAACACAGGTAACCTAGGACGCGTTATCCAAGAGCTAATCTCTTCATCGATTTAATATTATAATGAAGCCTCTATTAAGCTAATCTTTGACATCTTTATCATTATGAAACGCAGTCGTAAACAGCCAAAGACATTATTCTTATGAAATATGTTGAAAAGTTTAAATGTTTGAATGCATCACTGGAGTTCATTTTCGATCATTTATGTTTGCTATGTAAGTTTACTCTGAAGACTAATGTTTTTATATCAGAATCAAAATAAAATAAAGTCTTGACTATTTACAGTTTAAATAAAATTGCGTTTAAAAACTTAAACACTGTCTATAGTTTACGCGAGTAGTACACATTTAAATAAAACACTTTAACCAATATATTTTTAAATTAATGTTTAAAATCTTATTAACTATTGAAGTATCCCGAGTATTACCATAAAAAAATTACGGTTTAAAAACGCAAAAAATATTGGTGAACTACTTTTAAACTTTAAATAAAACACTTTAACGTTTAAAACGCGATATATTAGTTAAACTTATTTGAAAATGATTTTTAACTTCGGCCCGACGTTTCGGATGCTTTGCAGCAGCCGTGGTCACGGGGAGACTTTATTTAAATGTGTAGTACTCGCGTAAACTATAGACAGTATTTAGTTTTTAATTTATTTTAACTACATCGTGTTTGATGCTTTGCAGCCATGGTGACAGAGAGGTTAAAGATGAACGTTGTCATTAATGTCAAAGTCAAATCTGCTACGCCATCAAAACGTACACTTGTGTTACGCGTTTCTTCCTTGCACACGCTTCTTCCTACAGAAGCAAGTAACATAACTTTGTAACTGTAAAGCGTCCGGAATGTCGGGTCATACTTTAAATATATTTCAGGTATGAACCGGTAAATGTGTTTAAATAAAGTATTCCTACTGTTCAAACTACAGATTCATACGGGGTATTTAAGTAGGTTTTTTTTTGCTTGAGAGAGCTTGATTCCAGTGGATAGCGGAAATCATTTCTACATACAAATTATGCATTATATTTTTATAATTACTTAAGTATCAATTCGTTATGACATGTCCTTTTTTCTGGATATTATATTTCTTCTGTTTTTTAATCCTCTGAAGACTAGTTTACCAATCCATGTTATTCCAATCATTCCGAAAATTCCAGTTATCAGATTTAACGCTATTGTGTAACTATCTGTATAATCTCTGATTGTTCCTGAAAATAAACACACATACCGTAAATAAAAAAGTATATTTTAAATATAAAAAATAGCAATAATTAAAGTGGAAAATTAATTACAATTTATTATAGGCCGAGGTTCAAATGCTTTGAGCAGCTGTGGTCACTGAGGACACAAAAGGATTCCCTAATGACAATGTCAAAACTGCTAGCTACATCTGTCGTTTGGTTTTACCCAAATTACATAATTGCATACATACATGGTAATAATAAGGTTTTATTTAAATTTAAAAATTAAAAGTTACTAAATGAAATCAATTACCTAATTAAGATGTTTTTTATTGCAAAGTAACATAACGATTCCGAATTTAACTTCTTAAGATAAAAACGTTTTTTATTACTACTTTATATTATGTCAATTGTTTTTGCGTAATGGTCATAACATGTACAGTTTATATGTTAAGATAATATTTTAAATAATGGGTTTATTTAATAAATATAATGTATAAGTTATACCTTCTTTAAGTATTAACTATTTTAAATCTATTTGATAACATATATAAATTAAAATAATTGTTAAAATAAATTTAAAGCAAATTTATAGTTGAACCATTTAAAATATATGGTCATTGGATAGAGCAGCAGCAGAAATGACCATCGTGTTTCAGAAAAAAAATATATTATTTAGAAACATCAACGCTCAATCACCACCAGATCCAACACCTGGATTGGGCCCACGACAAACAATTCGTGCTTGATTCTCGTTGTGTTTCATTGCACCCCCAGGCATTTGGTAAGTAATGTAATGCAATATAACACGAGTGTAAGTGAACTTTACGATAGTGTTAAAAAAAACTCTAAAATAATACTGCATACCTATTATAGGCGCTAAGGTCAAGTTTGCACAACCAGCGCACATCATGAAAATTCCCATTGCTGATATATATTTATCCGGACCAACAGCTTCTGATATCACCAACAATAAGACTACGAAGAGAATACAACGAGATACACCCATTAGAGTGAATAGAATTAGTGCTACGGTCACATTGTCGAACGCTGCGAATCCTGAAAATAAAACATTAAAAATCACTATTAACGGTTTAAAACGTGAATTGTATGAGTTAACTTATATAGGTTTTTTTAACAACTTACACTTTTGTAACAACTTGCACTTACTATAAATGGTAAATATGTAAACTAATTTTCGCGTTTAAAACAGTCAATTTTTTTATTTTAATGTGTACTACTCGCGTAAACAGACTTTACTTACTAAAGTTTATTTCAAAAAATATTTATCAATCTTTACTTGTGATTTTATGATTTCCTGAATGCATATACAAAATAGTTATAAAAATTAACTTTTTTAAATATTAGAAAGAAAGGTTTAAAATTAATCATATTTCAATTCTGACTGTTTACTTGAGTAGTAACGTAACGTAACGTAGTAACGCCAACCAACCTACAGTTTTGTACAACAACTGTAGGTTGGTTAGGTTAGGTTATATCTCTAGTTTATACGAGTGGTACAGTTCAACAAAATAGCTTACACATATAATTCATATTTAAATAAAACTCTTCTGACGGTTTTTATCGCGTTTTAAACCTTTAAAGTCAATAATTACCTAATCTTGTTATGAAAGCCAGCATGACGCCGGCAATATAAACCCTGCTGCTGCCAAAGTTATTGAACCACTTGCTGAGTAAAATTAGTGAAATCCTCATAAATAAATCTCCGAGCGCTATGAGGGAAAACGCCCAGGCCACGTCGCTCTGAAAAATTACAATAAATTTATTACCTCTTGTAAAGTCTCCTTTTTCATTCTAATAATGTGTGTGATGTGATATTGAAATACGGAGAAATTTTTAACACAAGCATTTAACAACACATTTTTTTTTATTACAAATTATACAGAAAAAAGATTTTTAGTAGAATAACGTTGCATGTTCTGAAACTTCGATATTTGTTACCATTATATGCTATTCTCTTTAATTAAGGTTGATTTGAAATTGTAGTCTCGCTGTCTTTGCTTTATATATTATAGAAAAAAAAACAGTTGAACAGAATAGCTTACATGAATAAATAATATTTAAATAAAACACTTTTAAAGGTTTAAAACGCGAAATATACTAGTTGGGTTATTATTACTTAAGTTTAACTACAATTCAAGAACAGACGCGTGAATCAATTCTGTAAAGACCCAGCCGGTTTCTCGAGATCATAACTGAGATAAACAGGTGGCGCTAGAGTAGCTGATTTGACTTTGATATATATTCGGGTCACCATCTTTAGTCCCCTCGTGACCTCTACAAAGCGTCCAAAACGTCAAGCCGTATTTCAATTGATAATTTAAAATTTCGCGTTTTAAACCGTTAAAAGTGTTTTTGTAGATTAAATTCTTCTAGAAGTCGAGAAGCCGAATCCGAAGAAACTTCGGTTAATCTCCACTAGTCATAGAGATAAGCATAAAAATGCGATTCATCTGTTAAATTATTTGTTAATAAAAATACTCACTTCAGACCAGCCGTATGATCGGAATGCGGGTGGGAGCATGTAAAGGTAGGTGAGGTCTATAATGACGCTTATTGCTGGTCCCAAGCATTCGATGGATAAAGTATATGACTTTACTACTTCCATGTCGATCAAATTCTTCAAACGGGTTCTAAAAAAAACTTTTGCTTACAGATATTTGCTTGACTAATCATGCTTAAGTGTTGAGCGAGAATCTCAAAAGTTAAAAGCGTCTGAAATGGTTCTTAATACATGTGGATTGATCAGTAAAACGGACATAAAAGTATGTCTGTACAAATGATGTATAAGAAACGCGATACTATAAAAGTCTTTGTTTAGAGTTAACGTGACAAGAATACAGCTATATAAGTTAAGTGCTTAAACCGTCTTTTACGCAAAAATAAAAAATAAGTATAGCAATATATTTCGCGTTTTAAACCGTCAAAATTATTTTCTTACCACTAACAATAGGTAAATATTGTCAGTAGTTAACGCGAATTTATTAAGTTAACTTGTTTAAAATTCACAAAGCACCTTCTACTTCCTAACACTTGTAAGTAACATTCCGTCCCACCCAGGATCAAACCCGAGTCCTCTGTGCAACAACGCAGTTATCTATATCGTTAAACATTTTTAAATGTCCCGAAATTCAATTCAAACTTTAATAGAAAATAATTTGTTTTATTAAAAAACATAATTTATTAAATTGTTATCGTATAGAACACGTATGTTCTTACCATTAAAATAAGTTTAAATAAAACACTTTAACGATTAAAAACGCGATATATATTAGTTAAACTTATATTTAAATTATTTTTAACTTCGGCCCGAAGATGTCGTTGCTTTGCAGTCTCCCCGTGACCAGATTTTAAACAGTTAAAGTGTTTTATTTAAATGTGTACTCGCGTAAACTACAGACGGTGTTTTATAATAAGTTTTCTAATATAAAACGTTTTTCAGGCAAACAACACAGAGAAAATTATATGTATTCAAAAGAGCAGACTTTATTCTTTTCTCTCATATACTGTTAAAAGAACAAAGCTTAGTTTAAGTTCTTTCATAATCTAAACAAAGGTTACTTACACTAATCTCTCCTTTTCTTTAATATCCGCGCTCACTGTCTCTGGCGTTTGAGATATTTCTGTATTTTCATTTAGTAGCGTTTTCATTTCTGCAAAGCAAATTCCTTATAAGATTGTTCTTATTAACGTAGAGTTAAAATAATAAATTATGAACACTGTAAATAATCTGATTTGCTTGTTCGTTTGTTCGAACGCAGTAATCTCAGGAACTACTGGATCGAATAGAGCAAGCGTTCTTATTGTGTTGGTTAGAGCATTTATCGAGAAAGATACAACATTAACTAATGACTAATAGGAGCGAAGAAACAGCGGGAAATGAGGAAAACCCGGGGAAAATTTTTCATCTTTGTTGGTTTCCGATGCGTACGCTGCGACAACAGTTTCATATCTACCAAAAGATAAGTACGATATAATGATTCTTCTTTAAATTATTATATATATATATATATATATATATATAATAAATATATATATCTTTTAAGATTAACATGCTAGATTTATTTTTATGGTCCTCAAATTTGGTCTGAATTAAAGCATTATTACCAATTATTTGTTAGAATTGTGTCAACATAATAATATTCCGATTGTAAACAAAGTTTGCCAGATTAACAAGTGTCGTATATTCTATATATGTAACACTTGCCTATCTCAAAATAAGCTTAGTTATTCTTTTTTTATGATAAAGGAGAACAGATGATGCGCGGACAACCTATTTTGGTTTTGAATATTCGATATACCTACCACTCACTTAATATCCAGATATCCAGACAAAGTCCAACATAAACTGTGTAAGGCTTTCACGGCCATCGTTCAGCATATCATTGTTTTTCGGATTGTTCGGCCGACGTAAACGAGAGGTTCTAACATCTCCCGACGATGCCGTCCGCAGGTGATGGCAAAACGTCGAGTACCACTTCTCGCTCACGTCGGCCGAAGAACCCGAAAGACATTGATATGAAGTCCAACATGTTTCAGAAATATATAAATTAAAAATGTAGAAACATGTTGGAATCGTTTAAATAAAACACTTTAACGGTTTAATACGCGATATATTGGTTAAACTTATTTGAAAATGATTTTTAACTTCGGCCCGACGTTCGTGTCTCCCCGTGACCACGGCTGCAGCAAAGTATCCGATACGTCGGGCCGAAGTTAAAAATCATTTTCAAATAAGTTTAACTAATATATCGCGTTTTAAACCGGTAAAGGGTTTTATTTAAATGTGTACTACTCGCGTAAACTATAGACAGTATTTAAAATTATTTTTTTTATTTTAAAAATTGTAATAGATGCAACGGGCGGTGGTGATCGAACCCTCGGCCCGTCCGTCAAATTCGTACGTAAAATATTTCTGTCTCTACCTGTCTTTCGAGGTACCGGAACTTTCTTCATGTGCCATGCCACAGGTTGCATTAACATGCCAGCCGCAAAGGCATGAACGGATAGCGCGCAGATAAATATCATGGTACCTCTATGGCCATACCATTCTGTGGTCCACTTGAAGATCTGAGGTTCCACAAAGGCCACGAATGCTGGAAAGCAACAATATGCGTATGGGTATGGTCAAACAATATCTCATTTCCCATTGCTGGGACTCGAACTTACTCATGTTTTAAATTGCAATTATAATTAATAATGTATATGTTGTCAGTAGCCAACACTGTCGATAAACACTAAAGTAATTAAAAGTTAAAAAAATGTACCAATTTGCGCAACCTATATCATTGATTAATGTTTACAATTAAATAGACGTTAACTAATTAGTGGTTAAATTGAGTCGAAGCTATGCAAACAATGTATATAAACCACAACAAATCTTAGCTCAAATCTTTTAACAAATAAAAGAATAAAACAAATTTCTGGCCCTCGCCAACATAGTAATGTCTGCATATTAGATCAAATTAAGTTGGAACATTAGCTTGTTTGGTTGTTTATAGATGATATAAGCTGCAGAACGAAACTAAGAAAATGTATATGTTTAAATAAAAAACATTTAACGGTTTGGAACCTGAAAAGCAACCATTACATTGGGAATATAATTTAAAAATAAGTTAACTACAGTTCGGATTAACCATAGCCGTTAAATGTGTAATGTGTACGCGCATAAACTACAGATAATACTTAAATGCAACACGTAAAAAACATAACTTCTGCGTATAACAAGAGTTTATTTTTTAATAATACTTTGTGTAATCATATTTAATTATAATGTTCAATTAATAAAGACTAGACGTTACTTTAAAATATTGCAATATTTATACCCTCTCGATTCGACTATTCGAAACAAAGAATTTGTATATAAATGTAGGTTTAATATATATAAACATTTGTATTTATACAGCCGAGTTGGTGTTATAGTATGACCGGACTTTTTAAGGTCGAGAGATTAAGCCGTGATCATGTCCTACCTACTCCAGAAATGTCCTTTACTAAAGTCTCCAGATTTTGTTATTTTCCAAAAGTTACAATAATCGTTGATTATGACATCATTGTGACGAAACTGGCAGACTTAGTACAAAAATACAATGATCTACCTGTACAACCTACCTACTTCCTACCAGCGTAGGAGTGAAAACTGTTTAAGAATGATCTGTATTAAGTACTTACCAACAATCGTTTGCGCGAACCCAATTGCTATAATTCGTTTATTTATAAAGTATTCGTTGATGATTGTATTGGATATGTTATACATTATACCGTATCCTGCATTCTGAAATATATAATTCTTATTATTAAAATATAATTAAAAACATATACGTTTATAGTGTTTTTTTATGATACCTTCAGGAAATTTTCGGGTAAAAGCCCCCCGCCCGAGTCGTAAAACGTTTTTTTTTATCTAAATAGATTTTAAGTTTAGTAATTTTAATTTATATAAAGTTAAAAATACTATGCTTGCCGAAATTGACGAATTTCAAGTAATATAAGCTTTTTTAAAGCGTACAATTTATAAAAACTACTATAAATAAAGCAGTAAATAATATTTTAACTTATAGAATAGAATAGAAATATGTTTATTCAGAAAACAACACAGATTTGCAATAATAAACTGATTTTACAAACTATATATAAGAATTTTAAATAAACGACTAAATACAGATAAAATAAAATAATACAGTTGCCTCTGAAAAGGCAGTCCATGATATTCTGTGGCCCCTTCAAAGGCCGAGCTAACACAGGCGATACAGTTTGACATTTCTTCTATTATGTATCTTTTATATACTATACACAAAAACTTAACACAATTACTTAATGTGTTTTCATACTTACTACAATTATCCCTTGAGATATGTAAAATATAATTTTAGATTCTGAAAACGCTGTACCTAAAAGCCCGCAGTTGTATAGAAAAGTGCCTAGGAGGAGAGTTTTTCTTTTACTTAGGAATTTCAGTAATGGCGCTGTTACGAATCCTGAAAAAGACAACGCATCTGTTAAATATTCGTATCTTTTACCTAAGAAAGAAAACGTGTGAGTTTTTGTATTGGTCTGTTCGAGGATAGCGATTAACATAGGCTATATATACATGTTATCGACTTTGAAGTATCAAGGCACCTTACATCTTATTGCAATCCGCTGTCGATTTATTTTGGTTCTTCGAAAACATAAAAGCAAAACACGGGATATATTAGTAAACTTGGTCGCTCATTTCCATTTCCATTCGTATATCACATCGTACATATACATAAAGTATTCACACTTACCACCAATTGCCGAAATCATAGCTGACACACCAGCGAGAACAGTGACGTTGGCAGAACTCATTTTCAGTTCTTGGAAGAAACCACTGTATATTATACCAAAGCAATTTATATGTGTACCCAAAATTGACTGAAACAATGAAGTTTGCTTTTGAAAACTTTAATATTAATCTAAAATCGATTATAATTAAAAAACTATTACGACTCGGGCAGGACTTGAACGGGCATCCACAGTGTTCGGTGCTGTTGCTTTAACCAATTGAGCTATCGAGTCTTATAAATTGAGCTATCGATCACGACAGGCTAACTCATTTTATAAAACAGGGCAACATAATTTTGGACCGACTGTAAAGTTTGACTCGTGTGGGAATCGAACATACAGACGCATGACATGAGAAGCTAAATATATCACTTTATATACACGTGCGCACCTTGCTTACGAATACTTCTTTAAATAAATTCTATAAATTACTTTAAATTAAATATAATTAGTCTGTTCATTGGTATTTTAATTACGCAGCCAAGATTGACTATGACATAGCTATGATAAATAAAATGCCTATATATAATTAATATTATGTTATTCTTTTAAATACAATACGCGAAATATATTAGATACATTTATTTACAAATTACTTCAACTACGGCCCTATGTATAGATAATTACTGTGCAGGAGCCGTGGACACGGAAAAACACGCCTCTAGTCAAATATATTTTTCGTTTTAAACCATAAGTCCTTTATTTACATGTATCCTACTCGCATTAACTACAAACAGGTATAGTTCTTAAAGATAATTTACTTATTATACCTACTCGTAAACTCTTTCATTTTCCTATAGTATATAGCCTCTTACTATGTTGGTCAGTAAAAATACGTATTAAATTTCATTAAAATGTGTCCAATAATTTTGTATGTCCATATTATATACTAATTAATATTTTTATTTATTTTCTTTTATTATATTTCGGGAAAACATTCAGATAGTGTAGTTTACACGAGTAGTACACATTTAAATAGAACACTTTTAACGGTTTAAAACTTTAATTTAAACTATGGCCCGACGTTTAGCTGATGCAATGCATAAATATTTCACGTTTTAAACCGTTAATAGTGTTTTAAGTTTTACGAAAAAAATTCGTAAAAAAAATACGTTTTACCATTCTATGAAAACAATTCGATAAGAGGAGAGTGCTAAAGCTTTGATTTAAACAGCAATTTATATTTTTGCGAAAGATTTTAGACTGCTCAAATGTGATTTTTAATAGAATTATAAAAAAAGCTTTCTTATCTTACCCAGTTAATAATAACAGCGATTAGAACGACGTAACCAAATCCACCATCCGGCGCTACAAGTGTATAACTTTGGTCCATTTTTACAACATTAAATCACTTCGGACAATTTTTTGCGCCCAACCGCACTGAGAACAAGCGTATCAAATGACTATCGATGCATTAATTGTGTACCACTGACTATTATAATTAACTATAGAGAGGCATTTACACTATTAGCTGTCTGTGAGGCTTATTAAAATAGGTGAGATAATTTTCCTTAATGTAGCGCCATGAAGTTATTGTTTTAGACTTAAATGGTACTGGCGACTTTAGAAGTATATTTTGCAATTAATTTACTATTTATTACACGTATTCTGATTGTTCTTGTGAAATGATTGTTAGGAATCATTCTTTTATACCTATTCTTGGTATCTTAAACCGTTTTCAACGATGTATAATTTTCCCCGATTTTTCTACACATCACGCTGTTTCTTCGCTCCTATTAGTTACAATGCGATGCTCTATAGCTTATAGCCTTCCTCGATAAAATAATTGTTCAATTAGAACCAGTAGTTCCCGAGATTAGCGCTCTCAAACGTACAAACAAACAAATAAGCTCTTTAGCTTTATATTTTCTTATAATTAACACTAACTGTAAAAGTAAAGTATGAGGTAGAAAAATTAACAATTAAGTGTTATTTTTCTCATTATATTATTAAGAATGAAAAGATGTTCACTAAAATTTAAAATACTGTCTATAGTTTACGCGAGTAGTACACATTTAAATAAAACACTTTAACGGTTTAAACATAATATTAACTTTTGAAAATGCTTTGCAGCAGCCGTGGTCACGGGGAGACTGCAAAGCATCCGAAACGTCGGGCCGAAGTTAAAAATTATTTTCAAATAAGTAAATAAACTAATATATCGCGTTTTAAACCGTTAAAGTGTTTTATTTAAAATTTAAAATCTTATTATTTCTCTTTGTATTTGCACTAATATTTCTTAAATTAGTGAAAAAGATTAGTACACTACACCCGCAGTATTTCTTTTTTAATTGACCACGATTTTAAATCTTTCCTTGATGACCTAACTATATTAAAACTAGTATTAGTTATGTACCTAAATCTAGTTATATATGCTAAAACATGACGTCATGCGGAAAGTCTTAAAGCATTTTCCGAGAATTGGAATCGTAATTGAATTTAGAATAAGGAAATCCACCGCTTTCGATTAACAGATAAATGGAGTTCTATAATTAAAGCAGATTAGATTGAACTTCTAATAAAAATTTATTGTGGCAATAAAGCCTGGAGAAAAGAATGAATTAAAATCAATTGATATTTATTTGTTTAGTCTGTGACTTCGTTCTAAAGTTTTGTTTAATAAGTGTTAATGTTTGTGTAAATAAAGACGTACATACAAGTATGAGTTGAACTATATTACATACAGTAATAAAAGTGCTTTAAATTGTAAGCATAGCCATTTTTGTCATTTTTTTATTAATAATCCAATGTTTTTTGCACAACACTTAGAAATATTACCTATTAGTCTAAAAATAAGGACCTTGACATTACTTTGCCGCTATTAATTCTAGTACTGTCTACTTTAGTTGTTAGAGCTCACTTTACTAAATCTCTCTTTTATAAGATCGGTGATCCCAGCTGTGGGACTGAAACGTTGTCTTACAACAACAATATGTTAATACTTTTTGTTGTTTTAAATAGTCATAATACAATAAATAGTAACTATCCATTCTATTTTTGTCGTCTGTCGCCACATTGTCACTTTCATCTGTATCCCGATTTCCCGTTATTAATGGTAGATGGAGACTTGACATACGGAACCCGGAAATCCCTATAATGCCGGTCATGACTGTTGGTTTTGGGGTCTTAAATTTATTTGTCCGTGATACAGAAGTCTTCTTAAATATAAATGTATGTATGTAGCACATATCTATTGCTTCCACGTGCTTCTGTGCAGTTTGACTTTGGATATTCTGAAGTCCACAGACTAAAACCGAAACGTGATTACTAAACTTTAACGCTTTTTCATCTGTGGACGTTAGTTACCCGGAAGGAATAAAGATATTCATACTAGCCATTAAAAATCTAAATTTCTAGACGAAGCCAGTTTCAGAAAAGTGATAAATTGATTAGAGACATGTTGGATGCATTACTAACATTAGATCGACCCCGTCAAACAAACGTAAAAATCATTTATTTATAGCAATACAGTCGTATACTCTACCTTTCATAATATTTCCTACTGCAATACAAGGTTTTCACGAAGGACTTTACGTCCATGGACTGGTCGAGGCCGAATCATTAATAAAAGGGCGAACAATATAACGTCGATATCGAAAATTAGAAACTCAAATTTGTAGTGAACTTTGAAATGGTATTTTTATATACTACCTATAGTTTACGCGAGTAGTACACATTTAAATAAAACACTTTAACGGTTTAAAATGCGATACATTAGTTAAACTTATTGAGAATTATTTTTAACTTCCCCGTGACCACGGCTGCTTGCACTTACCATCAAGTGAACCATGCTTGTCTATCCTCCTCTATATTAAAAAAATATAAATATGTAATGACCGTTCCCATTGCTCAATGGTTAATAGCAATGCCTACATTTGCCTGTAGCAAACTGAGTTCGATTACCAGGTAAACACTACATTGTCTATACTGAGTATAGAGTTTTCACACTACATTCAGAGATTATGAGTTGATCAGTTTTTTGTGCTCTGCCCGACCGAAACAATCTATTGTTTCCCCGGGATCCGAACGCAGGACCTCTCGCTTAACTCAATGCTAGGTAAAATATTTAACCATTTACCTATAGAAGCGGTAAGTAACAACAATCCACGTTATCAAAATAGATATATAACTGACACGTGTATATTTAAAGTAAGTTAGAGGTGGAAACAAAACAAATATTTGTCATCTACTATTAGGGTCGTGTGCCTACACTAGTTTTAATTAAGTTCGCCTCTTCGGTCCTCCAATAAACCCTTTATAATTAAGTTAATTATTCCACTACGACGCTTAGAATAGACGAGGCCTACAAAACGGGGAGGCAGTAATAATATTCCGAAATTACCACATAAATAACATCCTAGACTTAACTTGAAGTTTAATTATTATTATTTAAAAAGAATTAGACGTAACGGCAAATTTGAACATGGAGTTCTAAACAAATGAAAGATAATAATTTTTTATTACAGCGCCATCTTGAAAACTTTTACTTTATTTTTATTCTGTGGTAGACATTTTGCAATAAGCAAAAATCAACTTACTATAAAAATTAAAGATCGATTATATTTTTAGAAATTTGTAATAATAACTTGGCAATTAAAAGGAGTGGCGTTGAGTCTCTTGCCAGTTCTTCTCGTTCGTTCTACACCTTAACTTGGGAACTGATAGTAATAGTAACTTTAAATGTAGAGTTTTCATTTTTTAACTGTTTTGACGTTCATAAGTGTACTAAGCAAACATAAGTACAACAATAAATGATTTTTGATTTATTAAATATATTAAAATAATTACAACTCGGGCACAGAACACTGTGGATCCCGTTTCAAGACCTGCCCGAGTCGTAATATTTTTCAATTTATAATCGATGGTTAATTTATATAGTGCCATCACGTGCAAGGTTCCATGTGAAAAATATTTAAGTTTTTACTATTTTTTTTTTAACTTAGTTTAACCTACATAAAATCTTATCGCCTTTTCCAACTACCAAACGCAAAAGAACGTATTATAATCCAAAGTTGAGATTATCCTTAAAAATTAAGTCCTAAAGCATAATGGCGCTGTAAATATAATTACTTCTAACGTAGCTACGCTAATTAACTCGGCATATAATAAAAATTCTAAATGTAGTTTTCTTTTGTTCAGCCCGACGTAAGTTTTATTGTTGAAATAAGGAACGGGGAATTTTTCTCGGCCTCAGTATTTCTAGAATGCAGATATTATTAAAACTTTTTTCTGTGGTGTCTTTTAAGCAAACTTTTTTAAATAAATTCTGCTACCACTACATACATAAGGCAAATATTCTGCTAGATAATATTAATTCTTACGTAAAACTATTAAACAAACAGTTTGGCAACAAACTGGTGATTGGCATATTTCTACACCACATAAACATATATACTATAGCCATGTTCAATAAGGTGAAAGATATGTTCTATTGTTTGGAATGAATATATAGATGCACAATATTTAAATTGTTAAATAAATCTTATTAACTGGGATTTATTTATTACTAAACAATCTTATCTACTTATATCAGTAATATAGAAAAATGAAACGAAGGTTCGTCTAAAAAGTTACTGGGTGGGACGCCACCCTTCGTGTTTATTGTATTTAGCAATGTGGTGGTGGTACCACCCCTGAACTGGCAGTGGTAGTGAACCACCAAGCTTGCCCCGACGTGCGTGCTGAGCTTTCGCGAAAAATAAATCGACACGGGTTTGAAAATTGTCTATCAAAAATCGGAGAAACAACTAATATAGTATACATGAATAATTCGATGTGACTCACACGTTTGCACAGAAATTGTTAGATTTTTCAGCGCGCTGTATCATAACGAAATTCTAGTGAAAAAACGTTGACAGTTTTTCATAGTAAATATTCTGTGAAATATTGTTTAATAAAGTGTGGTTTCCATTCAGCGATGTGAATTTGATGCGACCTACAGACCTAGCACAGAACGATTTTTAAAATACTTTTACAACTCAACCAGTTTGAGCATCGTTATTTTTATAACTTAATTGTAATTTAGTACATATATTCTATCTTTATGACTAACCTTACATATCTTATTGATGATTTACTATCATACAACCTAACAAAACAAAACCCTTCTTATGCAGTCCTAGGTTTAATCGGCATCGCCAAACGTTTTATAGTCCCAAGGCTAGAATTTAGGCTTATAGTTGTAGGCCCTCATCAACCGTGTTGTCTTAAAACAAGTTAGCAGTTAAAAATACTCCAATAAATCTTGTCCTTGACCGGAATATTAGTGCACGGCCGACAATCAAACCTCCGACCTCGTGACCTTGAGAGCTACCACTAATCAGCGACTTTGTT